AAGATTATATTCTAGTGTATTAGCCTGTATTTACTAATTTTTCTACTGTGGGGATTAATTTTTAAGCACAGTGGTAACAAAACAAATTATAATGTCAGTATAACATCAAACCTAAAATTTTCATCAAGTACTGTTTAATGAAAAAAACTGATCATTTGGAATATGCTCTTAGCAGGTCCTAAACCTGGGATCATGAAATCAATTATTAAGATTAGCACTTAAAAAATGTAGAATAGAAAAACTGAGAGAACAAAGCCAGAAATGGGAATATTATTCAATAATTTTTGTTTTGTACTTGGTATGCCCTATGATATAAAATTGTATTTACTACTATGGGTTCTAGTGAATTTCAAGATCAAATTTACAATAATTTGATATTTAAATTATTTTGGCTTTTAATGACTAGAAAAAGCCAAGTGGAGCTAAGAATACAGGTCTGTGATAGAGGGCTTGCCTAGCACAAGTACTACCCTGAGTTCTAGCCATCCCCAGGCACTGTAAAAACAAACAAGAAACAAAGAGCTCAGAGTAGCCAGAGCTGTTCACCATGAGTTAGAAAAGAAACAACAAGGGAGGGGGGGGTGTTCCAAAGAACAAAGGAAAACACTGACTAAAACTATATAGAATAAAAATGATTACAATCTGAAAAGCAGACGCCAATGACACTAGTCATATTGCATGGCACTAAAAGTAAAGCTAGAGATTTATTATGTCTTGTGTATCTGCCCGCTTCTAGATTGTCTATTTTAAGCATCAATAAAACCTCATTTTTCCAGAATCTGTTCTAGCAGACCTACATTTAAATCCTCTTGCAGTAATAAGTATAGCCTTAACTTTTAACCCAATTAAAGAAAGAGTTTAGGCTCAAGAGTTATAACATGAATGAATGGTAATTAGAAAAAAATTACAGGGGTTTTGTCTTCTTAAAGCAAATCAGAAAAATATTTATAACAAAATGTGTTTTGCTGTTAAATGATATTGTATATATTTGAAAAAAAATCTATGCTTTTAAAACAATTAAAATATCTGTGAATCTCACTAACATGCCTAAATACTCTTAATTAGGAAGGTTTAATTTTTTGAAAAACTTAAATCTTCATGTTATAAAATACTTCTAGAAATACTTATTTGCCTAATGTTATTATAAAAACCTCATTTCTTTAAAGAAATCAGTTTTCTCTCAAAATTCTTACCTTTCCATTTTTATGCAGTCCCACAGATTGATTACTTTCACAAAGACATAGCAGACTATTAAGATATTTCATGCAGGCCTCGGCACTAAAACAAATCAATTTTAGCAGGAGTAATTCTCCATAGACTAGTGCTTTCTAAACGAGTCAGACAAACATCTGCAAATCCAGTGAATCTGTTCATAAAGTGGACCATCTTCAAGTAGAAGCAAATTCATGAGTATAGTGCTTGCTTTTGGCACCTCACTTCTTTTCCATTTCATGGATTACTTTAGTGAGAAACAATACCAACAGCAAACAAAGCTCAAAAGAAAAAAAATCCCCACAAATTTTAAAATGATGCTGTTAGTATAAGAAAAAAAGGTCAACACATCTCAAAGCGCTGATCAACACCATCATGCATCTACCTTTAGGGTTATAACAAGCCCAACGCCTAATATTTAATTATTTGATCTTCACAGATCAAGCAAGGACTTGAAATCATCTCACGTGCAACAGTCTCTGCATAGTGCCATTTTATCCATGCCACAAAAATGCTAATAGTTACCAATAAATAAGTTGGGGGTCAAAGGAACTAAAGTCTTAGACTGCTCTTTATCATAAGATATCCTCAGACAAACCTCCCCATTCTTCATTCTGGCTCTACAAAATTAAGGAGCAGAGAAAAACTGGTAAGTGCTGACTTCACAGGGGAATTATCAATATATGTGGTTATAAAATAAGTTCAGCTACATCATTATAACTCACCTTAGCACACAAAAACTAGCTATGTGGGGAGGGAAATATAACTTTATTAATCTCAGCATGTCATAGCTTAATTTAAAAATCAACTTTAGTACCAGTGGCATTTTGATATGACATGTTTTAAATTCTAACAGTCAAATATTAAAAATTGGATAATGGGCCAATTTCTGGGCTTTCCCTCCCAAAGCTAATAATGAATTCATGCAACCAAAAGAACTAAACACAGAATTGGTCCACAAATGTCAAATATGAAAAATATACTATTAAACCACAATGTTGATTAATATTTTTACAGTTATTATTCAGATATATATTTATTTTGTTTTTATTACTGATTGCAGCATAACAGAAGAAAATCTACTTTAAACACTGACATCTGCCCTGCTTGCCCATAAAATGCAAGACTACCTAAATTTCATATTTATATAAATTGGGCAAAAGCAAATTTTTAATAAATTTTCTGAATAGAATTAAGAATAGGAATATATATATTTCACAAATTTTATAAAAATATATAAAATCAAAATTATTATAACTTGTATAGACTATTTAAGCCAACATATAAAGTTCACTGTTAATTCAAAATTATATTTAATAATTTAAATACTCCAAATAAAGCTTTGACACTAAATAGAAAAGTTATAATACATGAAAAATTACATTTAGATTAGGTTTCTAGTACTTTTACTGCAAATTTTAGGATACATTAAGCTAAACTAGTTATACTTGAACAATTTTAGAAACAAAAATCACCTGAGGACACTGATGAAGTGACTACTATATTTCAAATTATAAGATCTAGAAAGTTATTATAGACCTAGGTATTTTAACAAATCTTAACAAGGAGACTTCTGAGAAAATACTGTCTATAAGTCTACATATTCAATAAAGGGTTCAAAGTACTGATAATGACAATAGTGAATATCCTCAGGCCTAGAGGTAATAAATAGCACACACTGCTATAATAATGCTTTGTACCCCCTTCATAGGGTAAAATACACACTATGCCATTGTTGTCTTATAAAGCATAGAGCAATTTCCAAGTAGCACTTAGAAAGTAACTCAGGAATAAGAAGATATCAGTGCCCTAAGCATTACTTTCTAGGAACACATTAAAAGCAAAACTTGAGCTTTAATGGCTTTAAAAATGTCTTAAAAACAACAAAGAATTAACCAGAAAATGGTGAAAAACAGAAGAAATACTAAGTTCTAACACAAGAGATTATAATTCTATAATAATTAGACATTATTAAGACAAGACTTAAATATGAATAATTTCTAATTCCTAATCCTGGGGCCTATCTTTTGGTTAGTTTTATTTTTCATGTTTTGGCAGGGCCTCAGGTTGATCAGGCTTCCTTCAGAACTTACTTTGTACCCCAGACCTTGAACTCCTGATTTTTCGGTCTCTCCACAAGTGCTAAAATCACAGGCACATATTATCATATCTGGTTTATGCTGAGTAGAGGATTGAATTTAGGGCTTCATGCAAGCTAAGCAAACACTCTTCCAACTGAGCTACATTACATCCCCAGTTTGACATAATTGCCTTTTTTGATACTGTTTTCTTCTCCTAACTTTGATTAGTAAACAACAAAAAAGAGATGCTAACTTTAAAACCAATATTATAACAGTAGAATGTACTCTTGGAGTCAGCATACCTGATGTTAAAATTACAAACCTCCAAAATGACATGTTTGCAATCAATTAATAAGCCACCATGGCAAACTGTGCTCATTTGACTACCAAACAGCAGATAGCATGAGGGGCTGTCACTGAAATACTACAGTTTTCCACTCACCAACCATTTTTCTGATAACTACAACACCATTAAACACACAGTTCACTGCCTCACGTTTAAGAGCTGTAGACTCTGGATGATATCAACACAACTTGACACAGGCCCTCCAGCTGACTGACTGATAGAGGATTCACTAGGTGTTCCGTCCACCACAGAGACCAAAAGTAAAGAAATTTTAACAGAGAACAAGTTATTCTCCTCCCCTTAGTCATTCCTTTAAAGCTAGCCATTTCAGAAATGCTAGAAAAAAATTTAATTTAAAGTCTGTTTTACTAATTAAAGCCATAATAGGTATGTAATAAAAGGTTAAAATAAACTAAGAATACAAATCTACTTTCAACAATTTAGTAAATGAACCCATGGGACACAAATATTCATTTATAATATATATATATCTATATATATCTATATATATCTATATATATATATATATATATATATCACACACAAGGTTTTATATATACCATAATGAAAATACCTATTTTTTCTTTACTAACCCATTTTCATGCTAAACTTTCTATATTGTAACAACCACAATTAGTTCTAACCCATAATTTAATTTGGTACCTAAGCATCAAGCACATGAATTAGCTCAGGATGTTGAAGGCAATTAGAAGAGAAAGGGGGTTGCTATATTCTGGGATATGGAAGTTAAGATAGGAATATAATAGTTTTGACAGAACATGGTTAGTTATTTCAAAAGAACAAAGAGAAGTGCAAATTTATCTTAAGTTAATTTTGTTAACGCAAAGCCAGAGGGTTCTATAAAAAGCATAATTAGAAAACACTAACATTTGCTTGGCTACATTTGCACTTAATGGACATGAAATGAAAACATGAACCAATTTGGAAAGGAAATGCCATAATCTCACAGTCAACTCCTAATTATCCACACTAATCAAAAAGGTGGGGGGATTTTAAGTAATTCAAAACAAAGGATGAGGAGTTCTCCAATGTTGTTATTTTTGGCCAATTTTCCCCCTTTTAATATATACATTTATTTTCTATTTATTCATTTACTTATTTTAATTCAAGTAGTCTGTTGTCTAAATCAGCCTGACTTGCAGGCCATCTCCACGGAGAACCATCCATCCACAGATAACTGAGTTGATGTGACTGACACATATTCCAGTCAAACTGTACATGAACACTACATACCAAGCATGCTTTGAAGTAATTTCTGAAACTTGTAGGAATGATGACTGAGATTTCCCTAGCAAAAGCAAAACATGCTAGTTTTCTTTTCAGGAGCCTAAGTAGCTTACCTCCTGCAGGAGATCAGCCTGTTCAATTGCTTTAAGGACATTTTTCTTGGACGTTTCCTGAACTTCTCCTCCCAAAAGAAATTCATCCAAAATGAAATAGGCCTTCTCAAAATTAAAGATGATATCAAGTTCACACACCTGAAAAGCAAAAGCAAAATGAGACAAAACAAAGCCTGTTAAAACTTAAGCTAAAGATGCTTATTCACTACTAGGTAATGAATAAAATCTGATCAGACTGAACTGATCTTAATTCTTTTCAAAATGGAAATCTTGCTGATTAAGCACCATTGATTTAAATAAGCTTTAATTTTCAAATCTCAAGTACTTGACAACACAATGCCTACAAGTTAAATCTGGCTCTGCACACGCCCTATGTAGTCAACCCAATAATTTTCCACTCATAGAAACCAATCTTTAAGGATGTATTTCTTGAGTAATGTGATTAAGCTGCTAATGATTCTGAAAGCTATACTTCACACTTCCAGAATGCAAATGTCAGCAATAGGACTTTTCTATTTCACTAGTGTTCGTGTGTGTGTGTGTGTGTGTGTGTGTGTCTGGTGTACAAGTGTGCAAATGGGTGTTGTTTCTTGGGAGTCAGGGTCTCTCACTGGGACCTAGGCCTCACAGACTAGGCAAGGCTGGCTGTTCTGTGAGCTCCAGAGATCTACCTGTCTCCATCCTCCTGGAAATAAAAGTCAAAGTTAGGGACTAAAGAGATGGCTCAGCAGTTAAACGCACTGTCTCCTCTCTTCCAGAGTGTCAAGGTCCAATTCCCAGCACCTATATTATAACTCACAAGCACCTGTATCTCTACTTCAAGGGGATTTGATACTTTCTTTTGGCCTCTGTGGACACCAAGAGTGCAAGTGATCCATAGACGGGCATGGAGGCAAAACACCCATACACAACTTAAAAAGTAGCCGCAGTAGGAGGCAGCATTGGCTTTTTATGTGTGCATACTATGGTTTAATTCAGGTTCTCATGCTTGTGTGGTAAGCATTTCACCAACTAAGCTATCTATTCAGCCCCTCAATTTTACTATTTTAAAACTTATTCTCACTATTATAATTAAACGAGTAGATCTGCAGGGCCAGAGATTCTGAAAGTTGACTAGATGCACTGACAAGAAATAAGAGTCAGTGCAGGGTGGCGGTGGCACACACCTTTAATCCTAGCACTCAGGAGGAAGAGGCAGGTGCATCCCTATGATTTCAAGGCCAGCTTGGTCTACAGAGTGAGTTCTAAGATACCCAAGACTACACAGTGAAACCCTGTCTTGAAAAACCAACTAATCAACTGTAGCATGATTAATAAAAACCCAGAAGGTAAAAACCCTGAAGGTCAGAAAAGCAAAGCATCCAGCCACTGGCTCTTACCTCTGCCTCAGTCTGAAATGATGATACTGCCTCCAGGAATCTCAGAATGAGATTGTGTCTGAGAGCTGTCTCCTCCCATCTTATATTCCTCTCTAGGGCTGGCATGCACCACTACCACCTGGTTTCTATGGCAAACTAGTGTGGCTACTGGGATTAAAGGTGTGTGTCACCACTGCCTTGTCTGTAAGAATGAGCAGTAAGGTTGTTTTACTCTCTGATCTTCAGGCAAGCTTTATTTATTATTTATTAAAATACAAATGAAATATCCAACCAGCTATAACCAACCAACCAACCAACCAAATAAATAAATAAATAAATAAACAAATAGCCAGTCCTGCCTCTCCTCACAGTTAGAATCCCCAAATAATAAGCTTATCAGAGACAAGATAAAAACTAATCTACTACTACTCACGCTGCCAAAATACTTGTCAAGTAATTCCACGTAACGATGGATAATTTCCAGGGTAATCAGTTCATTGTCCTGATCCTCAATAGCACAGCAAAAATATAAACTGGCATATCTGTAATGAAACGGAATCACAGAAAAAATGTTACCCCTATAATCATGTTTTCTAAATATATTTTCAATGTCCTGTTGTACTAGTCCTCATGCTTATTATAATTACATTTATTCTTCTTTTAAAATAAATTTGTTTTCTCCTAGATTACAAAAGTAATAAATGTACAAGAGAAATTTTGGAAAACACAAGCAAAAAGAAAAGAGAAAAAGGAATAACTCAATCATGTCTCTTAGAAGGAGTAATTGATCTTGCTCTTCTTTTCAGAATGCTTTCTGAGCATTTAAAAATATAATTGAGCCAGTTTTTCTTTAGTTTACTTAATTAGAACTAAATATACAGTGTGATTGATTCAAACTACAAGCAAATGGCGAGAAAACAAGCTGTCAATATATCCCAACTGACGGGCTTATTGAAGATATTGTCATTGTTTTAGAATATGTCATTGAAGAATAATGTATACACAGAAATCTCAAATCTGCAAGCCTGTGGTCTTTCAGAGTAGATATTTCAATGTGTTCCCTCATCCCCAGTAAAAAAAAAAAAAAAAAAAAAAAAAAAAAAAAAAAAAACAGGAAAGACAAAACAGGGCACCATCTCTAACTTGAGCAAAGAACTTCCTCTTGTTCCCATCATAGCCTTTATTTGTTTATGTATTTAAAAAGCAAGACTATTCCAACTCTCCACCCTCCCTAATCCATGCTCTTCAACAGCATCTCCAGAGTGGCACAAATGATATAGAACAACGGTTCTTAACCTTCCTAATGCTGCGACCCTTTAATACAGTTCCTCTCGTTGTGGTGACCCTCCAACATAAAATTATTTTCATTGCTACCTCATAACTGCAACTTTGCTGCTGTTGTTAATTGTAATGTAAATATTTTTGGAAGTAGAGTGTTGCAAAAGGGGCTGTGACCCACAGGTTGAGAAACACTGATATAGGAAATTCTCTGAATTATGAAAACTAAAGATGAAAGGAACATATTTAAAAATGACAGACCAAAAGACAGATACAAGTTATTTCTATGAACTGAACAGAATAACAAATAATCCTATTACAGAGATAATTAATAGTAAATGTGAAGTAACATTCTTTATTGCAAACGTCTCCCATGCTACTGTTAAGCATCCAGTATGTATCTCCTTGCTTTTTTTTTATCTACAATACTGCCTCTTTGTTTACAAGTAAACAATAGTTAAATACCAACTAAATAGTTAAAGGTCTTAAAGTATACTAACCATGAATTTAAAAATGAGCAGGACTAATATATCTAGGTACCAATCAAAAATACTTTGTTTCTTGAGACAGGGTTTCTCAGGAGCTATGGAGCCTGTCCTGGAACTAGCTCTGTAGACCAAGCTGACCTCGAACTCACAGAAATTCACCTTCCTCTGCCTCCCAAGTGCTGGGATAAAAGGCGTGCGCCACCACCGCCTGGCCAAAAATACTTTTAAAAGAAAAAAAATTGAACTCCTCCACTAGTATTTGAGTTTTTTCTTTTTCATTCTAGAAATCAAATCCAGTATCTCTTATATCATTCACTAATAGCTTCAGTCCTCTAAATGTTTACTTCACTAAGAATGAGGAAAAGGCATCAACTTAAAGAACTACTTCTTCCAGGTGAATAGACAGCTATTAGCATGAGAAGAACACCTCTTCAGAAAGCTGGGGAAGTACAATAGCAGGTACCACAGAGAGAGTCACTATCCGTGAGGTGCTAAATGTTAGTGAAGGCTTTTGCATATTTTACCATCTTAATCCCATAACATTCCTACCAGATATCATTATTACTTGCACTTATAGGAGAACCAGGCTTGAGTAACTGGATGAGAACAGAAATTTGACCCTGGAGCCCAAATTTTCAATTAAAAACCACAGCTGTGAAGTGTATTAAAATAATCCTGCACCTGGCTAAAATTAAAATATGCTCAATATTAAGAACTTTGAGAAAGGGAAAGAGATAAAAAATGCCATACAGATTTAGTAAAAGATTACTAAGAAAACCTGAAGAGTACTCCCTATTTTTAGGACCAAATGGTGCTTTAAAATTCAATATGAGCTCATGTTGTTCTCTTAGTAAAATTAATAATAGACTAGTAAGAAGAGAGGTATGTTTAGTTATTTTTAGCACCATGGATTAGGGCTTACTCTAATTACTGGCACTCAGAACATCTGAAAGTGCCTATTCTTATATTCAAAACACATGACTTCTTTGCAGTCAGCTAAATATCAGCTGACCGTGCATGAATGTAGCTAAACTATTCTCAATACCCACTGGTATGTCGTTAAAATTTCTTTTGTTAGTAAAGAAAATCAATAAGTACCCCTCAACAAATTCTCAAGCTGGTAACATGGGGATGCATTTTAAAATTAATTTTAAAAGGCCTAAATTCAATCGCCTCTACTATAAAATGTTGCACCAACTAAGCATATAATGTTCTGTCTCTAGTGGATATTCGGGAGCATTTATTTTAAAGATGAGGAAACAAAGGCAAAAAAAATCAAAATATTCAAAGTCACAAAACTAGGTAATGGCACATGGGAACATATCGTAAGTCTTCAAATTTTTCAGCTTGTCTTCTCAACTACATTATCCTTGTACCCCCACCACTTCCTCCCACAAAGGGAAAATATGTATGCCAAATGTTCAGGGACAAATGAACAAAGATGATATAAAAAACACATGCTAAGAGAAACATTGAAAGTGCTTGAGCAGAATTTATTAGGAACTCAGTAGAAGTTCTATGCCTTAAAAGGTCTTATCTCTTCCAGCCGGAGCAGGGAAAACACATCACCTGATAATAACAAAATACATGGTTAAGTTTGCAGTAGATGATGTTTTCAGTATGAAATAGGAGGGGCCTACAGAAAAACATTTTACATTTTGTATATGAAACATCCCAATAAAATTATTTTTTCTTTTTGTTAAATCCAAATTTTATTTGAAAAAAAATATCCCTTTGATTTAAATATCAGATCAGGTTGGAGTTCTCTTTTGTAATTTCTGAAAAAGGTGGGGAGATCTGCAGGAAGAGGCTGAGTGGCAAGTGTATGATCTCCAACCTGATGTTTCCTTTCCTCTGAATGGCCCGCCCATTCATGGGCTCTGTTCTCTTGCTAGGATTTTCTTCCTCCACACGGGGGACTCCTTTCACTATCTAGAAATAAGCTTAAACTTCTCGCACCTTTTATAAACCCTATCCAGGATTCCAGAATCCAGGTCTATGGGCAGTTATCACCTCTTCTGTCCTTGGCAAAGCTCTCCCAAATATTCTATCCATGCAGTTTCAATTTCTCTACCTTTCCACCTTCACCTCATTACATTAAAAATCCTGTCTCTACTTCACTGACAGTGTTCTGGCAACAGGCAATGCATGAAATGCTCACTAGAAGATTCTAAAAAGCTCTTCACTTTTACTGTACTTCACGCAACAGCCGGCATTAGTGTTCTTACTCTCAAATCTCTCTGCTCCTGACTACTGACCTAATACCAATCCTTTGCTTCTCATTTCGATCTGTGGGCCCCCTCTTTAGCCCTTCCACCTGCACCAGAATGCTGGTGATTTAATACATAAAGTCTAATTTTCACCCTCAAGTTTCATGGCTATGCCTACCACATCCCATCAGAGAGCCAAGTGAACAAATATGGCCATATCAACTTGCCCCCAAATTAACTAAATTCTCTAGCTTACCTTTCTACTAATAAGCCAAACCCTAGAAGTGGAGGTGATACCACTCCCTCTTTCTTTGGCTGCTCTTGGCTTTCTGCTTCTTGGGGTGACCAAATTTTCTCAAACTTCCTTAGGTAACAGGTCTCCCTTCCAGCCTCTCAGCTCAGGATCCAATTATCATGTAGTTCTCCACTGATCCTGCAGGTGCCAGTCTCAGCCCCTTTCACTCCCCCAGCCAGGGTTTCACTGCAATCTTCTGAGAAATGCAAATCTAACCTTATTTCCTTCCACACCTGTTTAAAACCATTGCCTCCACACTTAAACCTTAAGTTGTAGCCCCATGTCCATCATTAGTATGTGACCTATTTCCAAATTCTCATCTTTTATAAACTGAAATTTGAACAGTAACCATGTTTTGTAAATCGAAGACCCATCTCTAGTGCAGACAGCAGAGGTCAATTGAGCCAGGGTACAGGGTTCTTATTTCTGATCCGCAAAAGCAATTGGATTTCTACTTGTTTTAGAAAAGATTCTGTCCCTGGGCTGGCTATCTATCTATCTATCTATCTATCTATCTATCTATCTATCTATCTATCGTGTGTAGATTGTTCTAAGGCATTTCCCAGTTCTCAAATGCTGTGATTTTCTATGATCTTTCTCAACAAGTACCAATCCAAACATTGAATAAAAACTCCACCCAAACTGATGAAATTCACTATGAAATAAAGATAAGCCTAAAGTATTTAAGATGATTTTTCTATCCTATAAATCGAATTTCTTCCCCTGGCACCTCCTCCACCACAAAATCCATCCATACTTGGAATGTAGTGACAGAAAACAGAAGAAAACATGATTTCTCTTCACCTTCATGGCATTCCATACTGTTCTCTCTACACACTATCAAGACAGTGTTTTATATGCAGAAATGCAGGAAATGGGGAAGAAATAAATGTTCCCTCAAAAAACATTATGTAAAATAAAGATGAATGCCAAATATCAATTATTTGATAAATAAATCTTTATGGATTTGTTGGGAGAAAGGATCATCATACTATTGTCTATGCATGCCTGAATTTATCAAATTACTTAAAAATTTAAAATACTAACCCTATTAACCCCGTAATGAAATGAATCCATTGACTATTTTCTAAAACGATGACCAAGCATGAATAATTGTCTTTAATTATATAATTAATTTAAAAATGATTCCCCTGCTGCTAGCACTTCAGTCTAAGGCAAGCAATCAAAACAGCCATTTTGGAAAGTTTTCCTTTAAACTTATTTCATTTAAATATTTGTTAACCCTTGTTTATCAACAGAAAAGTCTGAAATGTCCCCATCTGAAATAATGCTAGCATTGATTTCCCCTTTCTGATAAATTTTACAAAATGATACCTTTTATAAACAATCTTCAGATCTCTCCACTCCAGGAAGCTGCACATCTTAGGTTTCCGAGCTAAAACGGTTTGAACAAGTTCTCTTGTGATCTTCTTCTTCTCTTTGTCTGAGAGTGGGACATACCATTTCTGCAGCCGTAGCTTTCCCTGACGACTAAAAAGCAACATGAACTGCATCTGTTAAGATAAATAAAATCAAGATTACATACAATTACCTAAGATAAACTGTTAAGATCACATGGCTTGCAGAGCTGCTTTGGGGATACAGTTAAACACCCTGCCAAATGATTAGTAAGCCATCAACATTTCTACGCAGGTTCTAACAACAGAAAATTCTTTTGGAAAGGTCTTCTAACGATGCTATGTAGGTAAGTGTGGAAGAGAGTGCGTGGAAATAAGAATAGGTGGTAAGCTCCAGTGAAATTTTGGAACAAGAACTCTGATAATTTAAGAAACAATTTTCTCCCTTGTTACACATTCCACACTCTCTGTGCATCAAGGACAACTGGAGACACCAGGTAGTTACTTTAAGGACATTTCTAGGAAAGAGGAGACCTGTTTTTCACCTTGAGGCCATTGTAGTTTCAGGCTGAATTTCTTGCAGACAGACTACTCATCAGTTAAAGCACTCCCCTCAATTTATGCTAGCATATTTTAAGCAAAACGGAATGCTAATCACAAACAACACATTTTTGTTAACAAAAGCCTGATTTTTATGTTTGCATTTCACTTTTATAAAATCCATCTATCACAAATAAGCACTCAAGAACTGAGTTAATGTACGTGAAAGAGAATACCAGTCTGAAAAGCTTGACCAAAAGTGACTCATATTGAGACAGGGCATAGAATACTTAAATTAAAAAAAAATAAAGAAAACAAAATTTTGAGACATTTCACAGAATACTAATTTTAAAACAAAAAAAGAACACATTTGAATGTATGCTGGATTCTAGTGTGTTTTTATACTGAAGCTAATTTGTATGGATTTACTTAGCATTTGCATGACTGTTGGTCAGGCTAGTTTTCTAAAGCAGGTATTTTAAAATTCAACGGATAAAAGCAAGCTGTATTGTAAAGCTAATTTGAAGGTAAAGTCCAGGTAGATTTCTCTTTTAACCCTTTTAAGTTCCTTTAACAGCGACAGAGCAAGTGAGACCCCAAGGCAGGTTCTTAATATTCACTACACCACCTTAAATTTGAACATCGGGAAGAGGAATTTACGTAACTAATATAAAATCAAACTGGCTCTAAATTTCAACAGGAAATTCATCTCGCAATATCCCAAAAAGGCATCAAGAAAACATCCGGAAATTTATGGCGTAGCCATTTAACTTTAGTAAAGTTAAAATTGGCTATTACCCACACACAACACGCTATATAATTCATTGCTAGCCAAGTGCCGCCCATATAAGTTCTGAAGACAGCGGCATTCGAAGAGGACAAGTAAAGCATCAACTGGACATTCAACGCAAACCGTTACTAGAACTTGGGGAAGAAAACGATTGGGTTTTCTTAAATCTTGGTGACCAGGAGAGGGTTTGCTAACGACAGGAGTGTGCTCCAGGCTATCTGTAGCAGGGTCCAGTATCTGCCCTACCACTTTGTAGGACGAAGAAACCACGCATTTTCCTTCAAACAAATGATGTGCTAACATGGGGCGAAAGCCCTGGCACAAGTATTCCTTTTCCCTCGCTTTGATTTTGCCGCAAATCTCGGGACAAAAATTTCTTCAGATTAGTATTAAAACAAAAACAAAACAAAAAGCAACAATGGGCTCAGCCTTGGAATGGGCTCCAGTCCAGCATCCCTGGGGTCCCGCAGTCTTGGACGCCTCCCCTCCTACCGGGACCACACTCCATCACTGCCCAAAGCCAGGAGAGGTGACCGGCAAGGAGTGGAGCAGAGACAATGGCATCCGCTGGCCCGCCAGGGGCGCCAAGTCCTCGGTCGCTGCTACCCCCGGCCCCTCCCCCAAATGCCCCGCCAAACTTGAGGCGATCGGTGAACCACAGGTGCCTCGGGGTCCCCGCGGAACCAAGGACCAGCCCCAACATCACTGGCGCGCCACAGAGTGAAGAGCGGGGCTCCACCGCCGCCAGAAGTGAGTTTTGGGGCGCGGCGCCCCGGGAGGACTCGGGGTGGGGTCGTCGGGGCGCTCACGGGGCGGCGGGGGGCGCGCCCGATCACCTCTCCCTCTTCCCATCCCTGCCACCTCAGCGGATCCCCTTGACACTTACGGCAGCCGCGGGCCGCGGACGCGCCGGAGCTTGGCCGGCTGAGGAGACCTAGGCAGCGGCGGCTGCTGAGGGGAAGCCCCCATCTCCGTGCTGTTGTAGGGAAGCCCTGGTGCCGCCTGGATGGGACCCGTCTGGCGGACGGCAGGCTCAGGCTGCAAGGGTAGGGCGAGCCAACAGTCCCCGCCCCGGAGGCTGGACGGAGGAGGAGCCCGGGCTGCGGCGAGCAGAGAGGCGGGCAGGAGGACGGAGTATGAGCGCCAAGTTGCCTAGGGGGCGCCAACTGCCTCTAGTATCCTAGCAGTTGCCTGCAAGAGCGAGAAAGCCGATTGGTCAAATTGCCGCGGGGAGGCGTGGCGAGGGCCGGAAGTCTGGCCACGTGACCCGGAAGCGGCCTCGGCGGGGGGGGGGGGGGGGGGGGGGGGGGGGAGGACGACACGCTGCGTATTTCTCCCCGTGCCGCCGGGACACAGCCCGCGCTGCTGTCCTGCCTCCTTTAGTAGCGGGAGGATGGGGTTCCGCGGCGCCCTTAGCTGACCCTGTGGTGCAGGCTAAGGATGGTCCGCACTGCAAAGAGCTGACTTCGAGCTCCAGTGACTTTCCGGGTCCCCAGAGGGTTGGGCGGGGAGGTGTGACAGTCGATGCTGATGGTGGGAGGAAGGACGGGAAGGCTGCAACTCTGGGGAAAACAAGTCAGCGCTTTTGTGGTGCCCGCGTTTGCAGGGAGGCCCCTCCTTTCCTTTGCACTGTTCCAGCCCTAGCTAGCCCAGACACTTCTCGCCCCAAGCTTTGCAAGAGCCACTCTGCAGGGCTTGCTTCACCCAGCAGTGCGGCGGACTGGAGGAGTTGCCGTCCGCTCTCTACTGCAAAAGCCCAGACGGCGCTTAGTCCTCCAGATCCCGCTTCCCATGGTCTCGCCCCCTACCTCACCCCGACCGGGTTCCAGTTTAGCCTTGCTGACGACTCGCTCTTCTTGGCATGTCCTTCCTCTAATGTCACATCTCTGAAGCCTCACCCTAAAGCCCCGGAACAACGAATCCCTCTTTTACCCACATGCTTCTGTTTAGCGCATCTTGGATTTTATTCGTTTAAGAACCTAGTTCCCTGCCTGGTCTTTAACACTACTGATAAATGTGAGTTGCCTAATCAAATTATGAAATGATGATAGACTTGTTAAAAGCTGAAATGTTGACTTAGTTCTGGGCATATAATGGATGTCCATGTTTTATTTGAATGATAGAATGGATGAATCACCTAGTTCAACTCATCTTTTATAGATAGGGGGAATAGAGACCCATAGGATTAGGTGACCTTGCTTGGACAGCCGTGGATTTCCTATGTCAAATACTCTTCAGTACTTCAGTCACCTCTATTCCTACAAAGGAAGCCAAAAGAGCATTTGTTGGGCCATGCCTTCCTTTGCAGAGGTTACTAAACATGAATTTTAAATTAACCAATGTAAGAAAAAGATGCTACGTTTTAAACAAAGTTGTATTTACTCAATTTTAAAAAAAAATCCCCTATTAGAGATTAATGTTCATGTTTATGCCTTACAGTGCCAATGTAATATGTATGATAGGAATTTGAGGTCATTTTATGATGCTTTTCTTTAGCAAAATAACACTAAAATACCTTCCCCTTTCAGCAATAATATGCTGTTTGGAAAGGTTCCTACTGATGTGTGTGTGATGGATATATACTGGAATATGAAAGTGGTTAACAGAAAGTGGAATTGGCTTTTGGTAGGTCTTTAGGCCCCCTGCCCAAATTTCTCTTGTTTCCTGTCCAAACATGCCCCTGAAATGCCAATGTCTTTTTTTCTCCCTTAATACAGGAAACAGATGTCATTTGCCAGTTTAAAGACAGCACTAATACTACACAATGAAAACCTACCCTCTGATCCAAGACACTGCCTTTTCTTTTTGTATACAGAACACCTATGTCCTCAAGGTTTCTGAGCTAGCCAGTTCCCAAGTCTAATCTCATTGGATATGTTACTAATGTTGGTTTGTACCTCTGGAAATGATGGGAGACTTGCTAATGACATACTGGCAGTCTCATTTCTGTGTTTCTAGCCAAAAAAGGAAAAAAAGAAAAAAGGTGGGGAGGGCTGGGGGTAGAGAAGGAATTATGGGAAAATAATTAGCAGCTGAAAGCAGCTATTACATAATCTTGGCTGCTTATTAATTTAGCAGAAGGAATGGCTTATTAAATTCTAATAGCAATAGCAAAACTGCAAACAACCTACAATTAACAGAGCAGAGCCCATTATTTTGTTAATATGTTCTCTTCCTTTGGCAAGTATATGAGAACAAAATTTATAGAAGCAGATGGTCTTTTTCAGTAGATTATAGATGGTTTATTCCCCAGCCTTAGTACTAAGTGCTAATCGTGCATTCACTGTGAAAGACAAAAAGAAACACGGCTGCCATCTTTGTTAGTAATTAGCTAGCTTGACTTTGATTTCCACATTTCTCAAATTGTAGGCTTTGTTGTATACATGTTTCTTCTGACCTAATATCGGTTTCATCTGCTATGCCAATGCATTATTGTTTTTATTCTTTTGTCTTTGTTTTCAGAATGATTCTGCCTTATGTTAATAATACAAAATTATGTGTGAAAAATTAATAACCAGAATTTGTATGTGTTTGTTAAATTTTTTAAAGAGTGCCTTGCTGTCATGTATGCTAGCTACAAGATGTGAGGGTAAAAGAGAGACTCTATTTTTTAGCAATAAAATTTGGATACTATATTATCTAAAGCTTTAAAAAATAATTTTAGTTTCCTGTTAAATTTGCCATAGATGCACATTCTTATGCTTGCTCCATATTAAAATATCACTAAATGAAAAGGGGAAAAGGACAATGTTTAAAATATGCCCACATAGGGCTATATAGATGGTTGATTGGTTAAGAACACTGGCTGCTATTGTAGAAGACCCAAGTTCAGTTCCCAGCATCCACATGACAGTTCATAACTGTAACTTCAGATCCCAGGGGTCTGACACTCTCTTCTGGTCTCTTTGGACACCAGGCACAAAGGGGTGTACAGATACGCACATAGGCAAAGCATATATAATATATATGATAAAAGTTACTTTAAAAAATAGCTAAAACATGCCCGCATGGATGATGAGATGGAACATTAAGGATGATGAGAAGGTCAATAAGGAAATTAAGGTACAATATCATCTAAATACTGACGATTTAAATAAAAAGTCGACACACTGAAAATATGAAGTATTCAAGCAGAAGTAAGGAGAGGTCACAATAATGCTGAAGTAAACGACATCTGAAAGAAACCCAGAAGCTGAATTATTAGCTTGTTTCTTCCATTCTAGGAAGCAGATTCTGAAATCAATGGCGAACTTCCATGGTTAGAATCTTGAGGTAGATTGTAACCAGAGGGATTAATATATTTTATTTCAATTTTTAAATGACTTAACTATTATCATGGAGTTGCTAAAAGCCATTCAGTTAGTGGTGCACTCTCTAGTAGAGTCTTTTATAGAGTTCCTGTAGTCAGCTTTTTTGATTACTTGTACACAGTAGTATAACTCAGTATTAAGTCAGTATATAAGTTATGTGCAGAAATGATGCTTAGAGTTTATACATTTGTACATCTCATGATAAAGTTGTCCCAAAAAGAAAATGGACCTAAAACGATGAGAATTTGTGAAGTGGATCTTTTCCAAATAGTTCTGCCATTCCAGAGTCCTCACCAGTGATCTAGAGGAAAATGTAGAACCTATGTTCTTTCTGTAGCTTTGAACAAAATTATTAAGTTACTCTCACACTGGACAGTTTTACTCATCAGGGCACCCGTGGCAGTGTCTGGAATATCTGTCACAGCTGGGAGTCCTTGATGCTTTAGGCATCCAGTGGACAAACGGAGGATGGGAGGTGCTGCTTAACTCCTTACAGCATATATGTTCGCCCCACAACAAAGAAGGTTCCAGCTCCAAATGTCAGTGCTACTAGGGGAACAAAGCCTGTCTTAGTCACGGCAAATGCTAACATGCGGTAGCAGATCTTTTAGAGACATTTCCAGAAATGGAACAGCACAGCCTTCATAGAAAGCTTTTTTCGGTGTCTCTCAGAGGGACTGGAGGTATTAGTCTTAATAGTGGATAGATAAAATTGTGACGTGAAGAAAAGGCTGGCCATATACTTAAGGCACTCAGTATCTTTTAATGAAACTTTAACTAGAATAAAGGATCAAAATGTGATTTCAAACAACGGACCCCATTCCAGAACAGTAGTCAACAGCACCTGAATCCATGAGATAACTACGCATTCATTCATCATAAATGTTCATTATGTATCTCTGACCCAAACAGAATTGTGACACTTTCTTTTTCCTCGCTCTCTCCTTCTTTCCTTCCCTCATCTCTGTCTTCTCATTTCATTCAAAGTCTCACATTTGTCTCTGAACTCACTGCCCCAGCCTAGTCTGGAAGCTTCAGCAGTCCTCCTGCCCCATGCTCCCTACTGCTGGCATTATAGTTGTGAACTTCTGCGTTCATCATTTGTAGACAAAGCCTGGATGACCAAAGAAGCAATCATGAATCACATGTATGACTACAGGTTTTTTAAGGAAGCTGCTAGACAGACATGCTTCATTAGAACTTTACATCTTTATGGCTGACATTTTTGGAAGTGATGCCCTTGTGATGTCGCAGCATTCTTTTTTTTTTTAAGGGGGGGGGATTCAACCCGAAGATCAGAAAAACAAATCAGTCAAGCCACTAGAGAGCTCTTACCTCTGTGAAATCTTCAGATGGAAAAAGAGAGCACCTTATATTCCTCTCTACTGCTGAGATTAAAGGCGAGCACCACCACCCAGCCTCTATGGCTGACTAGTGTGACTGCTGGGATTAAAGGTGTGCACCACTGCCTGCCCTGTATGGCTGACTGGTGTGGCTGCTTTGCGTTCTGATTCTCAGGCAAGTCTCAGGACACTTAAGAGCAGCAATCTTTTCGTTTTGTGAATTTCCTACATCAATCTTAATTCACAGCAATATGAGAAAAGAGGAAGAAGGTTTATGTTTTGTTTGTTTTCTGGGAAGATGACTCAGTAAATCCAGAACTTGCTGTACAAAGATGAGGACCTCAGTTTGAATTCCCAGAACCCATGTAAAGTCTTGAAGTGGTAGCATGTATCTGTCATCTCGGTGCTCGGGGGGGGCGGGTGACGGAAG